CTAGAACGACTGACTAGACTCCAGTGAGTGAGCTTTCACCGAGGGACATTTGGGTACAAATGTTTGACTGGATAGGCCTTAACATATATGACAGAATGCATGAAATCCAGTGGGGAGGCTATGGGAGGTGCAGATGGGGGAGGAGGTCTAAATTTGATTAAGCTATATTATAGGAAATGCACAAAAACTCAATAAAAATGTACATAAGGGGCTGTAGAAATAGCTCAGTGGTTAACAGCACTGGCGGCTCTTGCAGAAGACCCAGGTTCAGGTTCCAACACCCACATAGCAGCGAACAGCCATCCTAACTCCAGTACCAGGGGAATCTGATGCCTTCTTCTAACCTCTGCAATCATTGCACAACATGGGTGCACTTATACACATGCAGAAAATGCATTCATATACACAAAATCAAAATAGAAAATAAAATATTAATAATATATACATAAAATAACATATAAAATTGTTTAAACATATATTATAAATTAAAGTGAAGTCTTGGGGGAAAGAAAGAAATCGTGCTGAAATGAAATCTGGCTTTATAAATGAGACAGTGAAAAAGAACTTGTTCCTCTGACCCTGTCACGTTAGGCATTTTTTTCACGGACATTTGTATGACCCTTAACAGCACTTTGGAGAACCACACTGACCTTAAGTTTGTGTATCAAGCTGCCAAGGTTTATTCCTACACTGGTACCCTATGAAGATGTTAGGATCATATTTATAACATTTAACATGTTTAGATAATTGTTGGATGGGATATACTTGGTACTTCTTATCGTGAAATACAGATTTTTTATAGTTTAATTGCAAATTTGAAATTTTCTGAAGAGCTAGATGAGGATAGTCCATAGTGTCAGTAACCTTTTCGAATGTCTGCTGATATGAATCCGTGCATATTACTAAGTACCCTTTCTTTGGCAACTGAAATACCAAAAGTAGAAGAAAAATGAAGCATGAGTAGTCCAACTCAGACCTATTGCATTATCATATCCAAGCATTCTTCTGCGACCAATCATACAGATGTGAATAATTGGCCAAGAGATAGAAAATCTCTGTGTATCATTACTGTACAACTGTACTGGAAAAACTGCTTTAGATGTAAAATTTCCATAGAAAGCAATACTCAGTTATAATGAATTTCTGTAGCCTGGGAAAAATTTTGTTGATTGATTGAATTCATTTGCTTCTAAAAGCTATAGAACAGCATATGTTTTGGGATTGAGAAAAGAGACTTCTAGTTGCATAGTGTTTTGTGAGTTGAGAAAACAGTAAAGGACATAACTTGGATTTTTAAAATATTTATTATTTTTATTTTTGAGTGAGTGTATTGCCTGCATGTATGTAAGTGCCCATGGAGGTCAGAAGTGGGCATCAGATTCCCCTGGAACTGGAGTTATGGACAGTTGTTAACTACCATGTGGGTGCTGGGAATTGAACCCGTACCTTCCGCAAGAGCAGCCAGTTCTCTTAACCGTTGAGTCATTTCTCCAGCCCCCTAAATTTGGATTTTATATTTTATAGAACTTTTCGTATTATAAAAAATGTCATGTAAATCTTTTCACTAAGACTCATAGAACACTTACTAAAAAGCATTATTCTCTTAGGTATCTGATACTGATCATGATAACAGATTGCATTTTTAGTACCTTATTTTCTGTCAAATTACTTCTTTATATATTATTTCTCTTTTGTGATATTTATTATATTACAAAAATAATTACTATTTTAATGAACTGGCAATATTATTTGTAAAAGCAAATAAAGGAAAGCTTTCCATATTTAGCGTGTGATGGATTCTAATTGGAACAATGCCACTAACTCTGAGAACAACAGAAGGATTCATAGTACTTCTTAGGATTTAGGTTACTTAATTGAATCAAGACACAAAAAAATTTAACTAAATCATTTTGGGATGTTAATACTTATAGACATTTCTATCAAGAATTGTCCAAGTATTTGTTCCTTTTTTCCTTTTCTCTTTGCCTGTACTTTAATATTATAGTTTGTTCATGCTTTGTTTCATTTACAGTGATCAGTTTCATCACTCTATTTTTTCACAAGGACTACATAACAACAAATATCTTTATTTGTTCTTTTCTCCCCTTCAACTTTGAAAAATATTCTCTCAACTCATTTTCTTCTGCTCTATAAACAGAACACCCACGTGTTATGAAACAGGCACAATAAAGTTGGGCACTTCATGATCCTCTCTTCTTCCCCACATATCCTAAAGGAAAGTGCTGTCTAGTCAAGGCCGAAAACCTGCATCACATGTTGTCAATATCAAGTCAGGAGTGCCTGTGTGCCCTGCATTAGAGATTAAGCAAGGAAAAAGAACATTATCTTGTTTTCCCATGAAGAACTTGGCAGATGTTTCCTTAGAATACTAAGAAACAATATGATTTCTTGTTTACTCAACATAATTTTTCTACCTGTACCCTAATGCCTATACACAGTTATGGGAGTGGAAGTTTGGAGGATACATAGAAATGTGGTTTCTTCTTCTCAGCCTAAAAGACCATGGAGGGCTGGCAAACACATCTCTTAACACTCATGCCACTGACTGCTTGAATAATAACCTTGAAATTTTTCCCATAGGTTGAAATACAATAAGAATTAAAGGCTTTATAAGTGAACACTATCATCTGTATATTTTTACAAAAATAAACAGGCTAGATTTCTACTAAGATTAAAAAAGGAGTGATAACATTTGTGACTAGTACACAAAATAATATTTATATTTTAATATGAAAAATCTTTAGTGAGTTATGTTTGATAAAAGCTATATGGCATTCATTCACATCAAGATGAGAATTCCGCAATTGAACATAAACTGAATCCATGTGTGCAGATAGATTAACCTCATGGAAACAAAAAGATATCTCTTCTTTAGTATATGAAAGAGAATTGCTGATTTGTGGGAATCTTTTTTATCCAAATTTATGGGCAATGTAGACTCTTATATGATAAGAGGTTTGGGATATCAGGTGAATTTCAAGATAGCTAACATTTGTTGTGAACATGTCACTGTTGTACAGTCAATCACAGTGCTCACCACACAGTACAACTTATCACCCTTTTATAGCCTGTATTTTTGTAACATGCTAAATAAAGTACTTTTAGTAAAATCAAAACAGAAGAGTCTACGGAGCACCAAACATTCACGAAGGAGTCAAAATGCAAATGACTGTAAAATTTTTTGAGCCACAGAACTTGTTCTTGTTAGTAATTGTGTGCATAAACCTTAAAGAAGTAAAAAAAAAAAAAGAAGAAGCAGACAACTCAATAAACTGTTTAATGTGAAGGTTGTAGGCCAAGGGCTGAGAAGAAGTAGGAAAGACAGTGGGTTTGTATGTTGTTACTTGAGGTGATTTAGAGCTTGGTCCAGAATGGTCATCTTAAACCAAACCAAATAATAAAATACACCAAGCAGCTGTACCCTGTGTGTCCCAGGAGCTTTAGGCCTAAGAGTAAGAAGCATGGAGTGCATGCATAGTTATCAATACACATACGAGCACATGTACATGCATGCACACATACTTGATGCCCTCCTCTGGCCTTGGCACATGCATACCTGTGTATACACATCGAACATAGACCACACAGACACACACACAGAGACACAGACACAGACACACACACACACACACACACACACACACACACACACACACACACACATACACACACACACAGAGTAATCTAAGAATGAATAATAAACCACCAAGTAAAGGCTAACATAGCAAAAAGTCACTAGATTAAAGGAGGAAACCTAGTTTTGACACCAGTTCAGGCACATAAAACATTAACAGTGGTGGAGAATCACATGCCCATGGGAGTCCTTATGTTCTTTGAATAGAAAGAAAATATTAAGGCACAAGAAAATACTGAAGGTCATACTGTTTGATGCTCAGTGGATCTGTTTAAATTGAGTTAGACTAGCCAATCCTAGAATCATTCTGTTCTTGCTCCTGTTCTTCTTCAGACTTGCCATCAGTCTTTTGCTCTGGTTGCATGTGTGTAATTGGTGCTCTTCTTCAGTTCTGTCTGCTAGACAGTTTAATGCGAAAATATCAGCTCTCTGATGGGTGAAAGACAAAGCTATTTTTAATGATACTTTTACTTCTTTCTTATGGAGCACAGGCCTCTGTGAATGAAAGAATAAACAATGTATAATTCTCATAGCAATGAATATTTTAGTTTGATGTATCTCCTTGAGGGAAGAGCAGTAAGGAAGAGAAACAAAGAGAAATTTGGGCACGCTAAAGATTGAGTCCAACCATATTCAAACTTGCTATTTATAAAGGGTTGTATGATCCCGGAAGGGTTTTTTAACTACTATGAACTTCTTTTTCTCCTACGTAAATTTTAGAAAATACCTCACAAGGTTGTTAGAGAAGAAAATGAGATGCTTGTAGAGCATTAATCATAAATGCAATATATAGTACTTGAAGAATGCAAATTATTAACATCATCTACATATTAATAAATAGTCATTTCTCATAGTAACTACAGAGGTAGGAGGAAGGAGCAGTAATCTTTCACAAGCACATGCTCCTGGATAAGCATTTCTAGCTGTGTCTGAGGGCTTGAAGAAAGGAAACAGTTGACCAAGACACATTGAAACTATCGTGACATTGCGGCTAGAGAGATGACTCGGTGGTTAAGAGCACTGAGTGCTCATGCAGAGGACACAGGTTCAATTTCCAACACCTACATGGCAATTCCGGTTTCAGGGAATCCATCACTACCTTCTGACCACTGCGGGCATTGCACAATACGGGGTTACGGGTATACTTACACACATGCAGGCAAGGTACTCATACACATAAAGATACAAATAAAATCGATAAAATATATTAAAAAGAAGAAATATTGTGACATGTTGCAGTATGTTTTAGGATACCAAATACTTTTAAAGTACCCACTGTTTATACAGTGGTTCAATTTTCTTTTCAAGCTTGACACCTATCTGAGAATGTTACATTTGTTTTCAGGAACTTTCAGCCCTACTAAGCCCACCGAAAATAGTCCTGCTGGAAGTGAAGACGAGTCTGATCTGGAGGTTGTCTCCCTGAAGGAGCGGATGGCAAGGTACCAGGCAGCTGTTTCCAGAAGTGACTGCCGCAGTTTCTCAACTAACGTAAGCTCCTCTTAATAATTTTGAGATGATGTGCTTGCTGTTCGGATTTCTTCCTTACTTTTGTAAGACAAGAATTTAGCATTAATAATTGGGATAAATCTGACAGAAGACAAAAAGGAGTGTGAATCAAACTCAGACCATATGAACTGAAGCGTCAACTGTGCTTGATGGTTGCATGAATTTGAACTAGTCTCTTAAGCCCTCCCTGAGCTTCAGTTTCCTAAACTGAAGAATGGGAATGATATCTACTACATAGGATCTCGGTGAAGAATCAAGGAGATAATTTATGTGGAAGCCAGGAGGCACTGCATAAATGTGTTATTATTGTCATCATTACCACTTAACCTATAGCTAGTCTCTTCAGAAGGTTAGGAATTAATTTCAAATTTTAATAATGTGGGTTTGCATGTTGCCCTCCTTGATCTTGTATATCGTTCATTTAAATTCTCCAGCAGTGTAATTTCTTTTGCTTTCCTCTGTATGCACTGGCTCCATTAGGAGAGGCTTAATCAACATAGAAACGAGAGAGATTAGCAATATAGGCACTTTGCTAAACCAATTATGATTATGGGAGACGGAAAGAATCAGAAAGGCCACCGATTTTTAGAGCCAACCCATAATAAAGTGATGTTCAAAAGAATTTGTTGGATTCTGTATTCCATGCTGTTCAGCTTAATGAAATATAAGAATATTCTTTTATAATTATTATCTTCAAATTAGCCACATGGTTGCTTGCATATGTGTGTTTTATGGAGAGAGAGAAAGAGAGTGAGACAGAGACAGAGAGACAGAGACAGACAGAAACATAGAGTCAGAGAGAGATTAGCTCCTAAAGGTAAGGTTTTAAAATAGCTACTCAACATTTACAAATTATTTAGAGACTTGGCTATGCCAAACTCATTAACATTACTGCAATTCTAGATGACATTTAAGTTTTTATATAGTCATTAAAATATATTCTAGACATGCATAGATTTGGATTGAATATACAGAAGTGACATAAGTAACTACATCACTTCCAAAACAAATAGTTCAGCATTGCCCACCATCAGTCTTCTTATGGGCACCCCCTGCTGGATAATTTAGAAACTTCACTACAAATTTGCTCTAAATTATATGAATAATTCTTAGGAAAACAGCCAACTCTGAAAACACCTCATTAAAGACTGGTTATTTAGTAGATAATTTTCTTACTTAGGAAGACTTAGATTCTTCCCAGTAACTGGATAATATGTCATAAAACAAATTGGCATCAGGAGATTATTTGTATTTCTGAAGTGCCATAAAGAATGTTTAAATTGGGCACACAAATACATTGAATAACCCTAATAATTCTAAACATTAATAATGATATAAAATACTCTACACAAAGTACTATAAGAATTCTTTTCTTTCATGCTGATAAATAAAAGTTTATACAAATTAGTCTCTAACAATACAAAAATTAAGACATCTTTTACTGTCATCTTGGCACACGTACCAAAGAGAAATGTTTGAAATAAGAGTTAGCTCTTATTTAAATGCTTTCTGAAGTATTTGTCAAATTTTCTGTGTGTATTTGTGTATATATTTATATATATGCAAATTTGTGGAGACACATATGCATGTATGTGGAGGGCAGAGATGTACATTATGTATCTTCCTATATTGATCTCTATCATATGTTTTAGAGACAGGTTCTGTCACTAAGCCCGGAGCTCTCAGATTCAACTAAATTTGCTGGCCAGAAAGCCCCAGGGATCCTCCTGTCTCTGCTTCCTCAGCTCTGGGCTTCAGGTGCATGCCAATGTGCCTGACTTTTTACATGTGTTCAGGGGAGCGGTGCGCAGATCCTCATGCTTACACAGCAGGCACTGCACTGACTCAGCCATCTTCTCAATTCCAGAATTTTGGTCTTACAGTCTCCTCTTCCACATATCATTAAGAACTCTCATGATCAAATGCCCTCACCAAAATCCTGAGAAAGGCATAGATAGTAATCAATATACTAAAGGGGAAGAGTTAACAAATGAAAAACTAAAGAACTAAATACTGAACCACATAAAGTTCAATTACCAGTATTCAAATCTCTGAAGCAATTTATTCTTTTGTTATTAAGTAAAAAGAGATGAAAATTTCAAGGTAAGAAGCCAAATAATGTGGGTCATGCTGTGGAACAATCCGAGACTCAAGATTTGACTATATTGGATCTACAGTTTGAAAAGGCCTTTGTTCGCCTAATAATTCTTCTTTTTATGACTGTGTTATAAGCAAAAATTAAATTTAAATTACTTTTAAGGATTGTTCTATTAGTAAGTGAAATGTCTGGTCCTTGACTTCAGTAATTTTCTAACTGTATTCAACACTTTCTTTTAGACAAAAGAGTACTTTGGGCTCCCAAACTAGCATATTTTTGTCTCAAATATTAAAATAAAGGGGGCTGGAGAGATGACTCAGTAGATAAGAGCACTGACTGCTCTTGCAGAGGACCCAGGTTGGATACCCAGAACCTACAAGGTGGATAACAACTATCCATACCTCCAGATCCAGGGGATCTGTCACCATCTTCTGACCACAGCAGGCATTGCATGACATGGGTTCACCTACTTACATGCAAGCAATGCACTCATACACATAAAAAAATGAATAAATAAATAATTTCTTGTCTTGGTGCCCCAGACACCTGGGGAACCACTACTGCTTCCTTATCCTTTGCATCCAGAACAACTCGGTACCTTTTCGGGTCCCTAGGAGCACTGCTTATGGGCCTGGCCCCACCCTCACTTCCATCTGCTTCCCTGGGCCTGCAGGACCTACCAGCCTCTTTCCTGGATACTGGAGCTGACCTTTCCTCTTCCTGATTCTTTGCATCCAGACCAACCCAGCTCCTCAGTGCAGTTGCCAGGAGCACTTGGGACAGGTTCCCGCCCCCAACTTCCTTTGCAACTCTGGGTGGCATGGCCACCAGCTACCCCTAGACCAGCATCTTTCCTGGGCTGGGCTCCCAGGCCAGTCCAACCTGAAAATTCCTGAGGCCAAAATCTTTCCTGGAGGGATCCAGACCTTAGGAGAAAGGCTGAGAGCATCTGATCCTCATTTGAATTGGTGCCTCTGTGGGAACTCCTGAAGACAAAAGCAATCTGGCCACTCTAATATAAAATCAAAAGAGAGAACTGGAAGCTTAGAGGAACCAGCTTTTCATGCCCAAAAAGTAAACCACCAAGGCACATAAAGTTCACACAAAAAAAGCAAACCTAAACTTGAAGGCTCGAGTCTCACAGAAGAATCAGAAACTACAAAAGAAATTCACATGTCAAAATCATACACACACAAAAATAATAACATGAAAAACCAAAATATCATATCCCCACCAAATATCAATAGTCCTATAGAGGAGTATAATGAGATCCCCCTAGAGATAATGAAGGACATGGAACCCAAAAGAACAATTATAAGCATGATAAAAGAATTCGGTGAATTTAAAAAACACACAAAGAAATCAAAGAACTGAAGGAAGGTAGGGATAAACTTCTGAATGAATTCAGAAGAGTTAGAAATATTGAAGAATACTCAGGCTAAATGAAGAAGGAAGTGAAACAGTCAATAAGCCAATTAGAAATGACAGGAGAAAGCCTCACTAACAGGATGAATGAAATGGAAAACAGAGTATCAAGACTGGAAGATAAAGTGGATGAAAAAGACCAGTCAAGCAAAGATTATGAAAAATTTAAGAACTCACAAGAATGGAGTAGGCAAGATGTGTATGACACCATAAAAGGACCAAACTTACGAATCTTAGGCATATAGGAAGGAAAAGAATCCCAGGATAATGGCATGGACCAGATCTTCAACAGAATCGTGGAAGAAAATTTCCCAAAATGAAAGAAAGACATGCCCATACAAATACAGTAAGCATATAGAACACCAAACAGGCAGGACCAGTAAATTAAGATCATAAGAGTTATTCTTTAAAAAAAAAGAAAGAGTACATGAAGTTATCAGAAAAGTGATGGGGGGATATGGGAGGAGTTGGAGGGGAGGGAGTGGGCAGGATTTGATCAAAACACCTTATTACTTTAAAAACATACCTGTTACTAAATTTGAAAACCTAAAAGAAATGGACAGATATCTAAAGGCATAGGAACCACCAAAACTAAACCAAGAAGAGATTAAAAGTTTAAACAGACACATAACACAAAACTAATTTGAAACAGTAATACAAAACATTCAGACTATAAAAAGCCCAAGACTAGATGAATATACAGCAGAATTCTATCAGACATTTAAGGAAGATCTACAACGAACACTACTTAATTTATTCAAAATGATAGAAATGGAGGGAGAACTTCCAAATTCCTTCTCTGAAGCCAGCATCACTCTAATACCAAAGCCAGGTAAAGAGAAATGGATGGAGAACTTCCAAATTCCTTCTATGAAGCCAGCATCACTCTAATAACAAAGCCAGGTAAAGATACAACCAAAAAAGAAAACTATTGATTCATATCCTTTATGAACATAGATGCCAAAATTCTCAACAAGATACTTGCAAACCGCATACAGGCACACATCAAAAAAATCATCCACCATGATCAAGCTGGCTTTATTCCAGAGATGCAGGGATGGTTCAATATACGTAAGTCAATAAATGTCATAAATCACATAAATGGGCTCAACGACAAGAACCACATGGTCATTTCAATAGATGCAGAGAAGGCCTTTGACAAAAAATTGAAGACCCAAATATGAGCAAGTGCAGTTTCAGACACCTGATATTTGACAAAGGGGCCAAGAATATTCATTGGAAGAAAGAGACCATGTTAAGCAAATGGTGCTCAATAAACTGGATCTGCACCTGTAGAAGAATGAAACTAAACCCCTATCTTTCACCCTGCACAAAAGTCAATTCCAAATGGCTCAAAGACCTCAATGTAAAGCCTGAAACTCTGAAGCTGTTAGAAGAAAATATTGGGGAAAAGCTACAAGATATAAGAGTAGGAAAGGATTTTCTAAACTGGATATCA